CCCTGCCTATCCATCCCCCGACCTCCACTCCGCTCTTCCGCTGCCTCACCATCAGTCCATCAGACATTACGTGCAGGTTCCTTACCTACAGTATAAATACGTTGAAATGAGCTTTCGCTCAACAAGTAGGAACTAGTACTCGTAAAATAACTGAAAGTTCACATGAATGATATGCATGAACTAATTATGTTGAATTATGATTTCTTATCATAGATTTATTATCCGGTCTTATCTTTCTTACTGATGAGCCCGAGTGCTCGTACCATTATGCACGATATACGAGACGTGAGGGTTCATAAGGCCCCCATTGACTTCGTAGTTAAAACTGAACTGAATGCCTCACTTGGGCCAGAGTACCTCTCATCTAAGAGGCTCTGAATTACCTCTTAACTAGGAGGTTTTGAAACTGGATTACCTCTCAACTAGGAGGCTGGTACGACACTCAACTTAGATTATTCGTATAAGTTCTCTTGACTTATTAAGGTGTATGCAGTATGACATAGCATAACATACTATAACACGAAATGTACTCTAACACATATAATTCATATGTACTATTTATTTTAAAATCTATTTATACTGTATGCGAGATTCCTACTTACATGTTTTAAGAAGTGGAATCCTCTATTCACCAAAAATTTTGCTCCCTTTCTTTCTTGTTTCTTAGAATGAACACCCACTAAGAATGTGAGATTAACTATCACTTGCTATTCTATTTTAGCAAGCTTGTAAGAAAGTCTAACTTCTCTATTTATGGCTCGCTTTCTCTTTTCCTATCTTAAGGATTGTAAAACCTTGTTTCTAATATAAAGATTAGGTTTATTGAATCCTGATTACCTTACTTTTTTATTAGCAAAGTCTGAAATCGACATATTTTCCTGATGTTATACTTCGAGTTCTTCAATGAACTCCTCTGTTCAACACCAAAACTGTTTTAAGAGTTATGTAGTGGTTTTCTTAGAAAATAGTTTAAAACTTCTATTTAGAACTAAAACCAAGTTTAGCCTCAAATTCTAGAACTAAAACTAGGTTTAACTTTAAATTCTCAAACTGAATTTCGGCGGAGTTTTGCCTTATTTTTCTATGTTTCCTGAACTATCCTTAGCTCTTTTTATCCGTTACTTCATCTTCTAAACATAACTAACAATCTTTCTCACACAATTTAATCAACTTAGGAACCATACTCTAGGGTTCCATCCAATTTTTCACAAGGATTTTCATACCCAAAAGTTGCTAGAAACATACTCTAACAACTAAAAATTCATCCTTTAATCACTAAGCTTTCAATTCCTTCATCAATTGAAATTCAATCATCAACTTAGTAAATTTTCTCCATACTCTCTACCACATCCAAACCATTCGGCAAAGGTAAGAAAAAAGAGAGGAAAACCGAATCTCACCTTAGAGAATGAAGAGAAATCCTTAGTGACGCGAACTAGCGGTGTCGTTTCATCAATTTCGATCAAAAATCATTTTTCTCACTTTGGGTGAATTTTTTTTTTCTTCCTTTCTCTTTGACTGAGTTCTCTCTATTCTTAGCATGAAAAATGAACATTTGGTGGTATTTTTATCTCTTAAAAACCGGACCTAATAAAGTGGGAGGATTAAAATGTAATTTTGGCACTTTTGAGGGACCTTTTTTTACAAAATTTCACCATATTTCACCAAAAATATCTTTTCTTTCCTTCTTCACTAAGCTTGGCTGGCCACCTTGCATTCCACATACCTCAATCTCAGCCCTTCATCTAATTTTTTCACCTTAAATCTCAATCATCCATTTATAATAACTATTTTATTTTAGTTCAGTTTAATTCCTATCTGGTACGTGTTTTACTCCCGTTTTTCAAACAGTTAGTCAACAAAGTCAACTTTGTTCGACCTTGACTATCCTTTCAAGGGTGAATTATTAATCAACTCTTGGTCAATAAATTTTGACTTGGTCAACCCTATTTGGTTGAAAACCTCAATTTTTTTAGTTCGACCTTCTAAACCCATTTTTCGTCCATTTTTCATTCTGATTATTTCTAAAACCCTAGAATTGATGTTTTTCAATTCTTTTTTACTTCTTAACCTTAAGATTCATGTGTTGGCCCACTTGTGGGTTTACCACAGTATTCTGCACATCCTTCCTTATTGCAGTCTGAAAGTCGGTAACGGTATCTTACCTAACTTAAATTTCTAATTGCTTACTTGATGTCATCTTGCTTACATAAGTAAGGTTTAGTGAACACTTGGCAATCACCCATTGATGTTCTATTCTTATAGTTATTCTTATTACTTCATACTGACTTTTGGGAAATTACTTAGTTGATAGGAAATTTCAGTTCCCGACTTTGTCAACTTCTGAACTCATATTGCATCTGAATTTCTTTACTGAAATACTACCCCTTTAATTTCCTATTATCTGTTTGGAAATTAAGAGTTTTCTCTTTAAATGTCAGAGCTTTCTCTATACGATGCTAACATTATATTACACTGCAATAAGAGATTCTTGAGATTATGATTCTCAAACTGTATATACACGGAGAATTCTTCCGCCTTAAGAATTTATCAACTGAATTTACTTGTTCTTAAAATATGAATTCATCATAAAACTTGCTACAGAATTTAGGAATACTGATATTAATTCCGTAAATCCTTCAATCACAAAATATGACAGTATATTACTGAGAAAAGTCATTGATTTAAATAAATAAATTTACATTATTTAATTCTAAAATTTTCTCAGTTATTACATAGAACCCCTAAAACAGATAGACCCTTAGAATGCATGAATCTATATTTTTATTCTTTAGTCTTGATTAATACTCTTTTGACTAATAATAAAAAATAAAAATTTAGATTTATACATTTTAAAAATAAGATAATTTATTTGTAATCAACTCGCAGCTAGAGTAATAAAATATCTTAAAACGAAATTTTAGTCGTCATCACACAATAAGTATTTGTTCGAATCTTTGTGTGCATCCAACATTATAATTATAATGTGAACTCCTAAATTTTTTTTTTTTCATAATGTGAACTCCTAAATTCTTTTTTTCATAATGTGAACTTGAATGTGGGGATTGATTCGTTAATTCTTTGCTTTAGTTGGCGACAATTGTTTTTAGTCCCCGTCTAATACATAAAGACATAGACGTGCCATATCCCTAAATTCTAATAGTAAATCGTTTATCCTAAGACTTTTTTGTTTTCTTACAAATAATATACTTGCAAATATATATATATATATATATTAAAAAAACTAATATATTAATGTTTGTATCTTTTTTTTTTTTTTGAAAAAAAATGTATATCTACTTCCATCGAGTAATGTAAACGATCTTCACCTACACTAGAACTTTAAAGGGGAGAAAAAAGAAATGTTCATTCTCCAATGCCAATATAAAGCGTTAGAATTAAGAGCAAAAGCATAATTGCAGCCAAAGAAATTGTGCCAGGTAACAAGGGTACACTTGCAAAAGCATAAAGTGACAAGGGCATCTTCCAGAGAGCGGCCTCTTCATTTGAGGGCCCTAGGGTAGTACTTGTGCTCAAGTACCAACCTATTTTGAGATATGATTTTCTTGTATGATTGTTCTAATCATCGAAAGGTATATAGAAAAGTCAAGCTCAATCCACTCTAGAAGAACAATTCTTTTTAGAAAGAAAAAGCAAAGAATAAAGACGACAATCAAGCAGCGACTGACCCCATTAAAGCCGATAAGCTTCTTCCTGAGAAAATGCTAAAGGTTATCATTGCACGGATCCCTATGTTGAACCTGATAATCTATGGTCCCGTTCACTTCGCTGATTCGAGTTTAAAATTCGAGTTGAGATGTGACTTTATGTGAGAGCTTTTTACTGTAGCAAAAAAGTTAGATGTAATTGTTTATGAGAGCTTTTTACTGTAGAAAAACTCGAATTCTAAACTCGAATCATCGAAATGAACGGGGCCTATGTCTCTAAAATATCTTGAAGTTATAAAAATCTTTCTTTAGACCAGCAAAAGCCCGAAGGAAAATCTGGCCTCTCATTTTTGAGTTATATTGTTGTAATGTTGTGCAAAACTAACTTTCTTTCGTTTCACACTCTACTTGTCAAATAAACCACTTTAAGTTGTGATTTAGGTGACTTGAAAGCACCTCATATTGTGCAGGTTACACTGTTGAATCCCACGGGTATATAGGGTGTTTCATGCAAATGACAATTATCAAATAACTCAAATTTCTTCTTAAAAAAAAATCGCGTGGTTATGAGCCTCCACGAGCTTTCTTGTTAAAAGGATTATTAGTGTCACCGTACTTCAATCTCTTTCGTCAATTGTAGAAATCCAATAAGATGAAAACGACTCGATCTAATTATACTTGAAAGAGGAGGTCAATTTCACTCTTGTAGCCACAAGGTCAACACCACACAATTCATTGAGCAGACAGAGATCTCATCAACATGGTGCTTTAGAACATTGAATCCTAAACAATTCCGGGGGAAAAAAAAGAGAGAAGAAAAAGACATTCTAATCGATAGCTCACCCCATTAGCAAAATAATTTTATGTTTCTAATGGCACTATAATTAACCCCTGTTTGACATATTAAAATGAGATTGCCTGCCAACAAATGCTCCTCCATGGGCTTTTTGGGAATATTTTCAGGTCCAAAGGCTCCAAAATTCTACTTTCTGTCCACACAAAGCAATCTAGCAGTTCCACTCCGCAGTACAGAAAACAAGAGGAATATCTTTAGTGCTACCTCTCTCTGTCTCTTTATTAAAGAAAAGCTTCTCCTTTTCCCTTTCTTTCTTTCAAAAAAAAAAAAAACCCAATTGAACCTCACCATTATACATAACCCCTTCTTATAGGCAATAACCTTGCTTGTCCCATGAGCAACACCCAAAACTCTCCCTTTGCCCACACTCAAAGAACCACACCAACATTAACCCTCTAAAAATCACTTGTAACATTAATACTACACAAAAAAAAAAAAAAAAGACAAAAAATCCCACATCTTCTCTTCTCTTCTCTTCTCCCAAATCCAATTCCCAAAACATGTCAACTTTTCAGCCTCAACAACCCCAACTCCAAAACCAACCACAACAACAACAACCCGTTGTGGTTTATCCAAACCCCGTCACCAAACAGCCACCAGGCTCCTCCCACCACTCAAACGGGTCGTTTGGGACAGTCTTCATCATCCTCGCAGTCATCGCCGTCGTTTCCGCCATCGCTTGCCTTCTCGGGAGGCTCTGCAACCGGCGGGTCCACAGCCAAAAGCCAAAGGCGCAAACCAGCCACAAGCCATCACGTAGTACTCGCAAAGATAGACTAGATCATCACGTTGAGTTTGGGAGTGACAGTGGCCAAAATAATAATTTTCGTCCCAGAGATCAAGGAGATGTTGAGTTTGGGAATAATCCGAATATAAATTCTCGTCCCAATAAAGAAGGAGAAGATATTGAGTTTGGGTTTGATAATAAGAGAGGAGTTCCAAATGGGAATAATATTAAAACTAATGGGAACAGAGAGGGAAGAGGGCATGTGGTGTTTGAGAATATTACTGGCGCCGTGAAGCATCATGCAGGTGATCATCATGATCATGGAGGGCCCAGAGCCAATCCTGAATGATATGTATACGAGATTAAGTTGGTTTGATTTAGGTTTATATCTCAGAATCCTTTTCTTGTTTATCATTATTTCTTGTGGGGTATTTTTTTTAAGCCATTTTTTTTATTTTTATTTTTTTCACGTACTGCTGTGTAATTGTAAGTTGTAACTGTATATAAATCAAAGGAGTTATGAAGTGCACGATCATTATTTTCATCACCCTCTATGTAATCATGGCTTTGACATGATTTGATTTTAAGGAGGAAATTTGATTTTAAGGATGACATATATGATGAGCTCTGATCGTTAAATTTACTTAAAATCACATTAGATTTAAAAAAATATACGAAATATACAGTTTATGATATAATTCTAACGACTAAAAAATAAAAAACTATTAGTAGTTCATTTTTATAATCCTACCAAAGAAACTTCTTTATCATTATTTGCTTATTTATTTATTTATTTTTGTGTTGAGAGCTTAAATAAACGTTTATTATTGTTTTTATATGCATTCAAATCACCCGTTAAATTTTAGTATCCAAAATAATATCTTATCAGTCATATTATATCACGTCATTTAAAAAATTTGAAATATTTTTTCCAATCTCTTATGTTTAAGTTTATTAAATGATATAGCACAGTATAAATGTTGGATACCATTTAAGACATAAAAAATTAGACAAATGATGTGATGAGATAAAGATACAATAATTCAAAAATATAAAATAAAGTACAATAATCTTTTTCGTTCTTATTCAGAAAATTATATAGTAAACAACAATTTGTTGAAACTAATCGTAATAAATGACGTGGTTTAATTGTACTAAATAGCATGTTTTATACTTTCCTAATGAAAAAAGTAGAAACGGATAGCAAATGACATTTTGTTATATAAACATGCGAGAGGAAATAGCATGACGACAACAAAACAATTATGGGAAGTAGAGGTATTAAAAGGGGAGAAATAGTAGGAAATATGCCAATATGAAAAGCTTAAGAAAGTATATAGGCCAACTTTTAGTTATAGAAATTAATAGGTCATAACTTGTCAAGTTATGGTTCATAACCAGATAAATTATGGACAAACTTGTCAAGTTATGATTCATAGCCAGACAAATTATGGACAAAAACCGGAAATAACTTGTCAAGTTATGGTTTATAACCAGACAAGTTATGGACGAAAATAGTAATTTGGCCTATTTATTAACTTATGTAAACTATTAGCCTATTAATTTTAATTCATCTTAAGTTTTGACCTATTTCCCTCTTTCTCCCTTAAAAGGGTCGTGTCGAGCCGGCACGGCCCTTCTGACCCAGGCCCGTGACACGACCCTAGCCCTGACTCTTATGCTGCATCTTCGTAAAGATTTACCGAGGAATTTACACATAAAGGTGATTGGTAGGAAAATTCTGTGAGTTAAATTTGATGAACATAAACTCTGTTGCTTCTGATGAAACGTCGTGGCTTTTTTTTTTTTTTTTCCCTTGTAAATATTATGCCTCTTCTTTGATAGAGGAGGCAGAGTTCTCAATCTTTCATTGATTCTTGCAAGTAATGTTGACATTTCCAGTTATGGTCAAGAGTTTGTGTGGTTATTAGGATTGGGGGGTTATTATTTGTTCAATGACTCGGAGGAGGAAGTCATATTCATCATTCAACCTCTTGGTGCATCATTTGTGGGGAGGATGATGAAAGTTCTAAATCTATTATTATGTTGAAAAGTAGCTTAGAATTCTGGTTACGATTTGTTTCGAAGCAGGTTATGATAATTGGCTTACTTTAGAGATGCCTATCTATGCTTTGTGAAAAGTTTTTTGATTTGGTTCAACACTTCAAATAGAAAATTGCTGTCTTGGGGAGGTTTTCCTGCTAATTACGGCTCCATTTTGGGTTGTTTGATTGGAGAGAGAAGTTGTGCATAAATGCGAAGAGAATTTATAGGGAGACTAAAAAATTTTCTGTAAAAGACGGAAAGATGTGTTCTTTTAGCAAATGAAGGTGAGCTTATTATTCTTTCCCAAGTATGAGCCATTGCCAAATATTTGTATTGTTATATATTTATTTATTTTCAGGTACTCGATTAAATGGAGGGTGAGTTGGCTTTATTATGATGCTCGAGGATTCGGATATTATTTCCGGATGTGTGGATTTGAGTTTGTGGTTATGGTGAATATCAGATTTTTGAATTTATGTGTATAGTTATTTTTCTGGTTAGATAATTTGTGTTTGATCATTTCTCATTTTTCAATAGTAGTTGATGAAACAAGTCGTGGATGATATGCTTTTTATAGCAAGATCAAAGAACATGCTTCTAATGTCTAATAATTTGTTTTTGCTTTTGCTCTCTTTTCCCCTCTAATGATGGTGAAGAGGATATTGAAGCTAGTATGAAGTCGAAACACCCCACATGTTCTGCAAGGAACTTATTGCTGGAATTTTGTTTTTTAGTTTGTGAAATAAATTTCTAGTAATACGTTGTTTTAGTATTGAATGTATGTGATTTGTAATAGTAAGATTAATTTTTTTGGTAAAAACTTTGATTATAATTTGATAATGTGATGTTTGATGTTGGTTTTAGGTAAATAATCTGTTAGACTATAGATTATAAGGTGTCAAATTATAGGTTATAGTCTAACAGACTATGGATTATAATTTGTCAGACTAGGGATTATAGTCTGAAAGACTATGGGTAATAGTTTGACAGACTAAGGATCATAGTCTGACAGACTATGGATCATAGTCTGACAGACTATGGTTGGCGGCCAGCGTAACTTGTCAGATTATAGGCTATAGTTTGATAGACTATAGCTGGCGACCGATGTAACTTGTTAAATTATGGGTCATAGTTTGCAGGCGGTTGGTGTAACTTGTCAGATTATGGGTTATAGTCTGACATACTATGACCGGTCGGCAACCAGAGACTCTCCGGCTGACGTAACCTTACACACTATGGGTCATAGTCTGTCCGACTATGGGTCATAGTCTAGCAGACTATGATTCATAGCCTGGCAGACTATAGCCGGCCGGTCGGTTGTCGGAGACCCGTCGGCCGGTTCCCGAAGACTCCGTTGGCTGACGATCGGAGGCAATGGCATTTTGTAAATTAGCAATTTACTTTGAGGATATTTTGGTAATCTAATATATTGAGTTTTTGACTAATGTTTGACTAGAAGGCTTAATGTTTGGGGTAATAATAAGCCCCATTTACTTCGCTGATTCGAGTTTAGAATTCGAGTTAAGATGTGATTTTATGTAAGAGCTTTTTACTGTAGCAAAAAAGTTAGATGTTGTTGTGTGGAAAAATGTGACGGACACCTGGGCGTATGACAAAGCGACACGTGGCCCTAACTACTCCCCACCAAGCGACAACCCTCGATGTCTACAGCTCTAAAGAGCCCAAGCGCGAAGTCCAACGTAGGGCGATGACTCTTCCTGACGTCGACAGATCGTGCCGTCGAGTTTGAGGCACAAAGATCCCTTGACCACGGAATCAATCACCAAGAAGGACGTTTGGGCTAAGCATGGCTGACAACGAGGGGAACATTCTCTAGAGAACGTGGCAAGTTGCGTACAAAAGTGGGGAACGTCAGCAGGCATTAATGGTGAGCTCTTAAATCGCCCCACAGGGGACAAGAGAGTGTTACAGGGGCGCACAGAGGCGTAATAGAAGACTAATTAGCTGAGTGGAACAGTGTTGATTGATGGGCTACGTCTGGGCCTAAAAAGGGAAAACACTTGAGTGCTTCTGCCTAAGAAGGAAACCCACCCAGCGAAGAAAAGCCCAGTATAAAAGAAGGAAGACCCCCTACGAGGAGGGGGTTGAGATCCAAGCAGAAAAGCGAAAGAGAGATAGCAATTGATGTAAATTGTACCCCCCCCCCCCCCCCTCAAAAAGAAATAGACAACCACAGTGGATGTAGCTCTAATTTTACAGAGTGAACCACTATAAACCTTCTTCTCTTCTTTACTTATGCATGTCAAAAAAACAATAAACTTTCACACATTTAACACACATGCCGGTAATCCTAAGGGAAACCAAGGGGTAACACGGCCGGTTTTTTGTTGACGAGAAATCACCGTCAACAGATGTGATTGTTTGTTAGAGCTTTTTACTGTAGAAAAACTCAAATTCTATGAATCAGCAAAGTGAACGGGGCCATAATTTATTGTACTCTCATTTTTTCATCATTGTAAAAATTTATCCAAACTAGGCTATAAGTTTTGAATCCAATCTATGTTGGAAGGAAATTGGCCCAACATGTAATGTTTGATCTTAGTGATCATGGACTGTAATTACGAAGCCCAAAGATGGTAAAAGCGCAAGGCATGAGCCATACATTTTGCACAAGAAGGCAAAACTAAATAAAGGGAGAAAGAGAAAAATAAGCTAAGACTTGAGATGAATTAAAATTAATAGGCTAATAGTTTACATAAGTTAATAAATAGGCCGAATTACTATTTTCATCCATAACTTGTCTGGTTATGAACCATAACTTGTAACTTGTCTGGTTATGAACCATAACTTGACAAGTTTATCCATAACTTATCTAGTTATGAACCATAACTTGACAAGTTATGACCTATTAATTTCTATAACTTAAAGTTAGCTTATATACTTTCTTAAGCTTTTCATATTGGCCTATTTCCTACTATTTCCCCTAAATAAATAGTAAATAAAAAGAAAAAATAAAATATTCTTTTTTAAGGGTAAAAAGAAATTAAATTTAAGTAAAGGCATTTTTAGCGTTTCTATTTTGTCTGGAAATTCTTCGCATTTCATGCTTTCCACAACTGTTTCAGCCCTTGAACATACAAATTATTTGAGACTGTACCCTCTGGAAAACAAGCAAAACTACCCATGTTTCTTGAATAATGTACAATTTTCTGCTCATATCCTGTTTACTAATTGAAGCCAATCTTGGTTTTTTTATGCTTAATTACAGTTTTTTCTTTCTTTTTTTTTTTGGAAGGCACTTAATCATAGTTGCAAACTTGCAAGTCTAGAGAGATTACCAAAAGGCAACAGCTACAAAGACGAGCGGGCAAAATCACATGTTACGCCCCACTCATATTTTAGAATTTTTATTTTAATTCCTATATATTTTTAATTTTATTAAAAAGAGATTAAAATTACATTTATAATTATGTTCTTATTCACTAAAAGGTAAAGTACTTT